GTGGTACCACTCCAAAGATTTTTTTGGTTCCTCCTCAAAAGCTTCGCTCTATAACCCCATCTAGAACAAGAGGACGCTGCCGCAGACACAAATTTTTTTGAAAGTTTAATACGAATTCTTGAGAAAGTTTAAAAATCACTATGATCAACTGAAAGACCCTGTCGTAGTACATCTGTGCATCGCTCGTACCCATTGCCATTTGACACATTGAGGTGGTGGACCATTGTGAGACGCGGGAACCAAAATTACCGTAATGTTGAGAATGCCTTTTGTAAGGAGATGCGGAGTACGTTTGAAAATAGCAGTGACAATCAGCGAAGCAAAGTTATAAATCTGCACCTTGATCAATCAACATTCACTTGGTATCAGTCTCATGTTTTCGTGAGGTAGTGATCCTTAGCCTTTGCAAGTATGAACCCATTTTATCTACTCGAATACTACGAATGGCTGCTTCCAAGCCTGCTTATAAAGTTGCTGACATAAAACTTGCCGAATTTGGACGTAAGGTACTGCTCATTACATCAAATCTTAAATCAAAATGTCAGCAACAAGTTTTGTTGAATCCTATCCTAGCTTCTTTGGGTGTTAACATATGCACTGCTAAAAATAGTTTCATATTTTTCTCCTAAGTTAACAGAATGAACAACTTTGACTCGTATAACAGCTTTCATAAGTCCAACCAGTTTAGGAGATCATTATTGCTGAGAATGAGATGCCCGGATTGATGGCTATGCGAAAAGGGTATGGGCCATTGCAGCCATTAAAGGGTGCTCGCATAGCAGGATGTCTTCACATGACAATTCAAACCGCCGTTCTCATCGAAACTCTTGTCAAGCTCGGAGCCGAAGTAATAATATAAGGATTCAAGTCTTCGATATGTGGTACCTAGAATGTTTCTATGTCAGGTGCAGTGGTCATCGTCTAATATCTTCTCCACGCAAGATCACGCTGCAGCAGCCATAGCCGCAGCTGGCATTCCAGTATATGCATGGAAGGCCGAGACGCTTGAGGAGTATGACTGGTGCATCGAGCAAGTGAATGTTGCTGGATTTGAAAAAAGCGCTCTAATCGCTTTCAGTAGGAGTATGTTAGCAAAGCTAGCTCACAAAAATGTTGCAGACTCTGATCTTCAAAGACGGTCAGCCTCTTAATATGATCATTGATGATGGAGGAGATCTCACGCATATGATTCATCAAAAATATCCGCAATATATCCCTGGAATCCGCGGGCTCTCCGAAGAGACCACCACTGGTATCATTATCCTCAGAAAAATGGTCACGAAGGGGAAG